GTTTCTCGTTTTGATCGACTTGAGAGGCGGATGGATATTTTCGAGGCTCGACTCACGGATCTAGAGACTATTACCGATGCTCGGCTTACCGCGTTGGAGGCCTCTTCCAGGCGCATTGAGGAGTCTGTTGCACAATCTTCTACACATTTGTCTCAAATCTTGTCTTTTTTCCAGATGCAGTCGTCACCCCAGTCTCAGCCGCCCACTCAGTGATCATTGTTGTCCTCACTTGCTATTGGCTAGTTCTTTTCTGCATAGATCTCTTTTATTGGCTTGCTGTTTCTCTTGTTTTTGTTCTCTCCCGGACAAAAAGGGGGAATGGGTGTTTGTTAGCATATTGGATATCTATTTTTGGCTTTTATACTTGTTGCATGCATATTGGATATTATTTATGGATTTAGGAATGTTTTGGGACTATTTTTGTCTTTTTAATGGATGGGTGTTATGTCTCTCAGATATTTTATATTCAGTTATTTATACAGTTCCACAGTTTTGGTTGGTTTGTGTGGTTATTTTTTTTCAGGTGGATTAATCAAAGAAATTATTCAAGAATTGCATTGTTTTTTTGTTTCTTTTTGTTAGGAAAATTGTTTAGAATGGTTTTGTCCGGGATTTGACAAAGGGGAGATTGTTAGGACCCTTATTGTCAAAATCCATGGAAAAACTAAGGTTGTAATCAAATTGCAATTTTCCAAGTTTTGATCTTCCCGCTTAAGCGGGGAAAGGGCCGCTCGAGCGGAGTTTACACTCTCACAGTATTTCGTGTGTCTGCAAAAATACCGAGTGATGTGTTTTTACGCTCGAGTGTGGGATCTTCCGCTCGAGCGTGAACCCTAGTTTGGAACACGCGATATAGAGTCCTCGCTCGAGCGTCCATTTCCACGCTCGAGCGGACCGCGCGATCTCTGCTTCTATAAATTCGCTTGTTGGTCCAACTCTAGGGTTACTTTTCCTAGATCTTCTTTAAGGGTCCTAGGGTTTCTTCTGAAGGTTTTTGTGAGTTTTCCTTGATAATTTGAGTGAGTATTAAACTCATGTATTAATAAGCACATATCAAGGAGGTTGGTTGATTGTATTCAAGAGTGTTCTTCTTCGGTGGAATCCGAAGATTCAAGCGTGGAGTTTCAAAGGAGTTTAATTCTATACGTAGTCGTTGATTCGACAAATGAAGTTGTGAATTTAACTTCAGGTTAATCAATTCCGAGATGAAGGTTGCGGTGAAAGATATACAGAAGATTTGAAGACAAATTGGAAGCGTTTGGTTAATTTGTTTGTTATCTTTGTAATCTTTCTTTCTTCAGTAGTAGATTGATTAGTGGCGTTTCGCCCGTGATTTTTTTTTATCACAATTGGAGGTGCTTCAATTGTGGTTTTTCCACGTAAAAATCGTTTGTGTCGATTTATTGTTTTTCGAAAACAACAATCTAAATCACTTTCGTAAGGGCTTAATGATTTAGATTGTGGGTTTTGAATGATTGGGAATTGAAATAATTAAATCTTGATCTAATCATGAATCACTTAGGATTTTCACTCTTAAAATTATATCACGTAAAACACATTCCCAGACCATCATCAACCAAATTAGGTCTTTTTCAAATTCAAGGCACCAACACAAGTTTGGTCCAACAAGTCACTTTGAAGTCAATAGCCTTACTATTAGGAGACACAGATCCAGTGTTCAATAGTTTACTACTCAGAATTTCATAACATGGCTAGTAATCTTATCACTAGGAATTACTAATTTCTTGGCTTGTTTCCACTACTAGGAATCACAATGTTTTGACATGTGATCAGTAGTCACTTTACTACTAGGAATCACAACGTCTTAACATAGGATTAGTAGACAATTCATTACTAGGAATCATTATGTCTTGACATATGATCAATAAACTCTTTTACTACTAGGAACCATCATGTCTTAACATATGATCAATAATCTATTTACTACTAGAAACCACAATTTTATAATTGTGTAGCCAATGGTCTAACACCTCCTAGAAACCACCAGTTTTCTATTTTTGTGATCAGTGATTTTGCACTCCCTATGAGCCACTAATTTAAGAATATATTTAGAATTATAAAAATTCAAAAAATACAATAACTCACTCTAACGGGTTGTCTCATCTTTACGTTCAAGCAAAGTCACATAGCAATCACACATACTATAATTGACACAAGGATAACATGCTAATTGCCTCTGATTAATTCAGAGATATTATCATGCAATCTTATGATTTCCTTTAATCACATTTGATCTCTCTAGATTTTCTTTTAAGAACCTTACAACTCTTGAAGCCATTTCTGGAAAATCACAACAGAATTTCACTATTCTGTTTTTCCAGAAACTAAACTTAACACTAGAAAATTCCAAAGTATAAAATTTAATTCAAAACTGATCTCACCACTTACCCTATAATCGAATATGGTCAGAAAAGTTTTCAAGAAAACTGGAGGGGTCACACCGGTCCCACTTAAAACCGAGTTAACCTTAGATAAAACTTTCAACAGTGTGTTGACTCCGAGTCCATGAGAAACAAATTTATAATTAAGTTTGCCAAGGGATAAACTAGGTTAAAACAAACCAAGTTTACGAAACATATAAGCAATTAAAATTTGCAATCAGAATTACACCACTCATAAAAGTTAACTGGTACTTCCAGAACTGAGCCCATTATTTCTGAATAAAAATCAGAAACATTTTAGCTAATGCTAAAAGTTTGTTTCTTTCCAAAAACAAAACACTTTGGAAATAATCATATTATAAATAAAGACTTTCTCAAAATTTGGTTTCCTATCACTTTGGGAATAAAAAGATTAAACCCAAAAACTTTCTCTAACCACAAAGGTTTGAAACCAAATCCATCTTAGTTTCCATTTCTGAACAAATCAAAAATACTCTTTAGCCAAGGCTAAATACTTTGGTTTCTATTACAGAAAACCAAACCACTTTGGGAATAATAAAATTAATCCCAAAGCCTTTCTCTAAACCAGAAGGTTTATAATTTCTTTCTTTCCCCATTTCTTTTCACTATAGTGAAACTATTACAAATTAGAAATTAAAACCATTACAAATGAAAATGGAAATGCAATTTTACAATTACAAATTGTCTAAATCTACAAAACGAAGTTCATGGTTACATTTGGAATCATCTGTTTAGCCAAGAACATACTTCTCCACTTGTAATGCTTATCTTTGTTTGAATGCATTACAAAACTCTATCCCTATTGCCATTAAATCTTCATGCTCACTATTCATAGGTACGCTTGTATACAAGATGAGTTAATGAACCAATAAAATGAATATTACACAAGTAATTTCAACTATAGCTTGCAATGTGTAATCCAAAGGCTAAAGATGCATTGCAATTATAAGAATGTCATGAGTTGCATGGCTATAAATCAATTATATATATAAGAATATTATGGTGATAATATTGGCAATCCAACCATGCAACTGTGAGCAAATATATATAAAAATAGAGTTAAATTTCCACTTATCATTCCATGAATTTAAAAATATTTTGGAATAATTTCCTTGATTACACATTAAGACATGAAAGAACTCACAATTGATACAACTACAAATAAATAGAATAAATAAGAGTTAATATCACTACAATGTCAAGCTATACCACCATGCGATAATGTAACATAATCATAAGTAATCACAGAAATAAGACCACTGTTTTACTAAATTTTCTCCTAAAACAAACTTGTTTAGAAATACTTTATACCATCGAAAACCTCTCGACTAGTCGAATCTCTTGAAATTCTCAAAATTCAGCTAGTTTTTCCCAGAATTTAATTAATCAAATTAAATCAAAATTATCACTACACTTTCAAAACAACATATGGAATAAATTCAAAATCAAACTGAACTACAGAGTGAACAATAAAATTCACTAATATTCTGAAGGTCCAATATTATTCCTTTTTCCACGCAAAGGTAATCCCGTTCAAATAAAAAATTAGTAGTCCAATTTACTAATTCCAATTTATTTTATTTGTTCGTATTATATATATGTTTAGTTAATCTGTAAAGAAAGTTAGCTATAAAAGAAAGCAAATAACAAACAAATCAAATCAAATAGTAAGAGTCTTACATAATAAAATTTTTATTTTTATAAACTCCTAGTAACTTAAGCACTAACCATCAAATAACTCATGCAATAAAAACTAATTAACATAAAATAAATTGAATGATTAATTACTTAAAACAAACAACTCAAATTCTAATAACTGTAGGCAATTAAATTAATTTTAATTCCAACAGTCACTAGAATAAAACTATAATAAAACTAAATTGTTTTATCAAAACTATTTAGAAGAATATGTTTTAAGGGTTTAGTTTTTGCATGTGTTTGAGATTAGGTTTGGATCGGATTATGACCCAACATCCGTATCCATTTTGCAACCCATCTAGTGTATACATTATATACACATTAAGAGCTCTCCCATACTTGTATAAATAGAGATCTTTCTCCTCCAACTTAGTAGGTTGTTTTAGAGAGGCTTTGTGATGAAAAATTAGATGATATTTTGAAATAAAAAGTTAGAGATGATTTTTTACACCAAAGAAAATTTTTCCTATCTTTTTTTGGAAGCCTCTTCTTTGATTCTTGTTAGAGAGAGTGCTTCTATTAGCAAGTTCGCCAAAACTATTCAAAATGTGCTTCTATATTAGCTGGTTTCGACCATCGTATCCAGAAAGACAGATGCCGGCATACCTCCAACATCCATCAGGAGGCGGTGAATCTATTTTGAGGAAACTGTCTAGTGCAGGCTTCGATTTGCTTCTTTTCTTATTATTTATTTTTAAATTTTTCAATATTTAATTCACAAAGATGAGTTCTAATATTTAGTTAGTTATGTTAATAATTTGTTCTATTAATAATGTAATCTAATTTATTTCTGTATTTTTAGTTGTGTCGTTTATTCTGAATTTCATTCTTTTAATAAAAAATTATTTTATCATTATTTTATATATTTTCTTATATTATTATAAAAAAATACCAACAGAGGTAGCTGTTCTAAAACAATCTCTAGTTACAACTTTAATAACACAAAAAATAAAAAAGCATATAACATAATTTCTTGGCTGAAAGCCCTATATAAAAAGCTTGCAATATTTGAGTCCACGGCAGCCGATCTTCATCAGGTATCAGTTGCTCTTTTGCGTGAGTTTAATGTGAACACCATCTACAAAGTCCAAAATGGGTCTCCGAACAATCTTTCCTCCCCTAATGTGAACACCAATACATGGAGAAAAGTGCATACAAATGTCCTAGTGTAATCTGCACCTGCGCATTGTCTCACCCCTCCTCCAAAAGGCATAAAATTCTTTGATATAAGAGTTGGATCAAGGTCCTATATATCATCAACAATTAAGGAGCAAAATTAGTACTTGTCAATGGCTTCTTTCAATGATCAAATCTCACTGTTAAGCATAAGATTAGAACAACTAACTAGTAAAAATTTACAAAACTCTCAAGCCATCACTTCTTGGAGAAAAAAAAGGAAAGGAAATGGTATAAGATCAAGATGTATTGGCACGCAGGTTCCAACGTGATGGATTGAATTTAACTGGATCTTTAAAGGCTTTTGGGTTTAATTGATGAGCGGAAGTAACAATCAAAATATTCCAGCCAGCAGAAACTGTATATCCTATTGAGTTTTTAACCAATAGACATTTCAATTTCAATTATTTGTAGGTTATATTTGCATGAAGCTTATTAGAGGTATTGTGATGCAATTATAGTACTTACCATTGAATTTGATATCTTTTGTGACTTTTCTTAGCAGCTCTGGTGCAACATTTGCCAACCTAAGAACTTCATTCACAACCTGTAATTTTACAAGTAAGGTGAAAATTCCAATTAATTAATCCTTCACTGGCAGAAGACAAAAACAAATAAGTGAGATGATCATATAAGCATACATTAGGTGTAAAAGTCATTGATTTGTATTCTTTCCAAGAGAGTGAAGAATCTGGATTCTCTCTGTTTTTAACGATTACCTCGTTTTCAGCCTGAAAAAATTAATCGATCACTAATTAATGTCATAATTATATATGCAAAAAGAGTAGTCTATCATTGTTTAGCTAAGGCCAAAAAAAAAAAAAAAAAAAAATCAACCACGGTTAGTTAGTTAAATTGTAAGTTTGAAAACGTACTGTAAGCTCCTCAAATATTGAAGGATGCTCTGATAACAACTTCAAAGTCAAAAGTATAACAGAAGAGATTGGCTCAGAGTTTCCAAATAAAATTCCAAACATCAAATTGGATAGAAATTTGGCTGTTAAAAACTTCTCAGTTTTCATGTCTTCCATTACTCTGTCAAGGAAGTCCCCTCTAAACTTGTTATCGGAATCGATTCTCTCTTGTACGATATCCTTCAACATGCTTAATAATTCCTTGCGTTCCTAAATACCACCAAAAAAAAAAAAAAAAAAAAAAAAATCAACAAAATGATACCTTGCATACTTTGTCAAAATGATTTTTTAATTAGTAGTGTTAAAAAAAAATTGGCAACTGTATCAGTATATACATATATCTTCAAGAACAAGTTTAATTTTTTTGTTTTTAGGTAAGTAATTACCTTGACGCATTGGTGGAAAGTAGTGCCAGGGATGTCCAAAGGAAGGGACAAAAGACCATGCAATAAGCTTGAAAACTTCTCACTATGTCGCATCTCTAATGATTTTTCCCAATCATAACCATACAACTGCTTCAAGGTGAAATCAAAAATCATCTGCAATAACGAAACAGATATATATGCTATCGTCAATCAAATATCAAACAAAAAACACTACAAGAAAAGGGGGTAAAAAACACGGAAGCATTAGCGACGGCGCTTGTCCCGTCGCAAAAAATGGTTTTTTGTGACGGCAGCTTAAACCGTCGCAAATGAAGGCTTTAGCGACGGCGTTGTCCCCGTCGGTAATAAAAAAATGCACGGATAGGGGAATAAATGCATCAGTATTAGCGACGGATGTTTTTACCGTCGCCAAAAAAATGTTTTGAGATGGCATACGTTTGCTGTCGCAAATAGTTTACATATTGCAACGGCAATTGTCCGTCGCAAAAAAGTTTAATTTAAATGGATATATGGGCAACATGCTCGAAAACGTGTCCAAATACCACAATTCTCCGGATTTCCCTTCTTCTGTAATGATGTAATGATTGAATTTTGGGTTGGTTGTTATAACTTCTTGTTTACCAGCCACATTAGTTCGGAACACTGATCCATATCTGCACACAAACACATAGACAAAAAAACAAATTATTACACTTTAATTACAAAAAAATATATAATTTATTTGGCAAAATTTTATTTAAGTACCTCTGAACTCTCTTAGAAATGAAGGGATGGAGTTCTAAAGATCGGTTGGGCATGAGAAGCTGAATGGTCTCTCCTATGAGAGGGAAGCCCATGGAACCAGGTGGAAGAACACCGTTTTCGCATTTGGGATTCCTCCATTTGCGAACCCAATGAGTTACGAATATGGTAACCAATGCTACCACAACGGTGGTCACTGCTATTCCCACAGACAACATATTTTCTGGCTATGTAGTACTCTTCAGTAAAGTTGTGAATGTGCAAAGTAGAAGAAGAAAATAGAGTACTTGTAATAGTATGGGGACTGTAAAGTACCAAACAACCCATCATTTCACAAAAGGAAAGAACACTAGTTGGGAGATATCTACCATGAGCAAGATCTTCTCCTTTGATCCTCTCTTTGGTTCCCTATTTAGTGGGCTATTGGGCTCACTTTTAGGCTCAATTTTAATGATTCGAACCGTTCACATTTTAGAATTTGTCGAGTATATCATACCTCTAAAAAATGAAGTTGATCGGATATCAAAAATCACGTGTTCGGATCATCAAACTAAAAGTTTTATTAAAAAATAAAATTGTTTATTATTTTTTTTTAATAAATGATTTTTAGTTCGATCAACTTGATTTTTTACAGGTATGATATACTCGACAAATCTTAAAATGTTAATGGTTCAGATTATCGAAATTGAGCCCAATGACTCACCAAGTAAGGAACTAAGGAGACGAAATAAGGGGAGGATCGTTGCTGATTGTAGATATCTCCCAACTAGTGTTCTTTCTCTTTGTGAAATGATGAGTTGTTTGGTACTGCTTGTGAATTTACAGCCTCTCTCTCCGACTGTTCCTATGGGAGATGGCTCAGACAGAGTCACGTTACCTGCAAAGAAATAAACGGTTGAGATTTATTTCTTTAAACAAAAAAAATACACATTTACTAACACCTTTAAACAAAAAAAATACACACTTACTAACACACTCAGAGCAAACACACTCTCCCCCACGCCAACCCTTTCTCACTGACACACACAGAGCACGCACACTCTCTGTGTCTCTCTATTACATTTTTAATAAAAAATTAAAATCACACAGCGCACACACTCTCTCTCTATCACATTTTTAATAAAAACTAGCTACCCCCCACACGCTTCGCGCATGGGGTCGTGTTACAGTATCCATATAAATATTTTAAAAATTATATTTGATTTGTGAATTTGATAAGTGACTTAAAAAGGAAGGGGAGGGGGAATTTGTAAAATATAGGTGAAATATAGTTATATTTCTAGAAAATCACATACCAAATCATTCGGTTAATCCAATTGAATAACTAATACACTAATCCCATCACTTATTAACCCCCTCACTAACCTTAATTGCTCTATTTTTCTCATTCTTTTTTTTCTTTTTTTTTTGCTTGTCTATTTTTTACTAACAAATTGTATGTGTGGGATATCATCACCCCATGTGAGGGGTGATCCTCCATGTGCTGCAAGGTTGGCCATGTTAGGAAGCCAACACACATGAGCTGGCCATGTGAAGCCAGCACACAAGATAGCTGGCCATATGCAAGGCCAGCCTCTCCATCTCCATTCTGATTGAGTATAAATGGAGGCTAAGGGGAGGGTTTGAGAGAGCAGAGCAAGCCACAGAGAGTGAAATATGTGAGGCGGAGAGACCGTCTCCCTCGGTGTGAGCGAGGGAGACGGGTGAGTGTGTGAGTGAGGAGAGTGTGAGATCCTCCTCTACTGTAATCTTTCTGTAATATTTCCATTGTTATAGTGATAACCGGCTACTCTCCCGTGGACGTAGGCATTGAGGCCGAACCACGTTAAATATTGTGTCTCCTTGAGTGTAGGTGTGTTTTTCGGCATAGAATAATTTCTATAAGGTCTTGGGCGGGATCCCAGATCCCAACAAGTGGTATCAGAGCCTCGTTGGTGGCGTTTCGGAACAAAAACAACGTCTTGTTTGAAACTGCCCAGAAATCGTATTGCTCGAAATCAGGTTTTGAGCATACCAGGAGCAAGGGCTCGAGAAGAGGAGTCCAACCATGTAAAGAAGACACCCAGAGGAGTAGTCACGAGCTCTCACGCGCCGCCTGAAGAAGGAGCGTGAGGCCCAGTCTCGGCACGCGCCACCACGCACCGTGAAGGGTATCGGCGCGTCAGCCCAGTCTCAGCCACGCGCTCCACGCGCGGCCGGAGGAAGAAGGTGAGTGGGAGCAGCGCGTGTTCACGACGCGCACGCCATGTGGGCCCACGTCAGCACTGACGTGTCGGCCACGTCATCAGCCACGTCAGCAAGAGTTGCCACGTGGTTGCCACGTCATCAGCCAGGTCACCGCCACGTGGGCTGCCACGTCATTGACACGTGGCCATAGAGCATTGCCACGTCAGCACAGGTGTGCCACGTGTCTACCACGTCAACAGTGGTGTTGACCAGTCAACCAGAGGCAGGGAGGGATCCAGTGCTACGCGGCAAGGGTGTAGCCGCAGGAGGAAGGATCCAGTGCTTCGCGGCTAAGGTGCAGCCGCAGATCTGAGGCGTACAAAATGTTTTGGCTAGATCGAAGCCATTTGGAGTCCGTTTTTGGTGATCCAATAGTGGTTTCCAACTATTTGGAGTATTCTGGAAACATCCGTGCGGTCAGATTTTGGAGACGGAGTTTCTGTAAAAAGAAGACAGATTAAAGAGACGAACGGCATCAGGTGCAGTGGGCAGAATATTTCGTTGGTACACAGAATATTCCTTGAACTTCTGAAAATTGCAATTTGGCCCAGAATTTTCAGAAAAAGTGTAGTGTGGCCCAGCTTTCGGGGATAGTTTTCAGTGAGGTCCCCGGAAATGCAGCGAAGGTTGGTTCTAGCTAAACGGACCACTCCGGACGCAACCGCGAGGTCAGAATAATGAAATTCCGAACGGTTTTGAAAGATTGTCAAAACATGGGAGTTTGTCATCTTCAATAGTCAAAGAAAGGTTGCCGGATATTGTGGAACATTGCGGATTTACTGAATAGGTTAGAATGGGCAGATTCTGACCAGATTGGACAACCAGATACAGATTGAGATAGATTATTGAAGACCAGAAGAGATCAGGCTTGATTAAATGGCAGATCGAGGGAGATCAAGATTGGTCAGGGGAGATCAGAGGATTGTAGAAATGATTATCTCCGGAGTTCGTTGGAGGATCTGGTTCAATCAAAAGAGAAGACCATTCATCGACGGATAGATGATTTGGCAACCAGTACAAGCTCAGGGAAATACTGTGGCTGTTGGAGCTACTGTATACGAGAAGGTACTAATGGTATGTGGACATGTAGAACAATAGTTGCAGAGGAGCATACTAAGCGCAGAAGTACAATTGCAGACGTGCAACAGTGCAAGGGTACGCTAGAGTGTCGTACAGAGAAGCGAGAAGAGTGTGCAGCAACGGGTTGTTGACAGTTCACAGAAACTTCCAGACAGAGAAATTGAGACAGGTAAAATGCAGGAGTGCATGCCAAGGAGTGGCAAGTCTTATTTCTCTATGGTGGTTTCTTTAGTTCCATGGCAGCAGATGATAGAGTTGATGCAGATCGCTCAAGCAAGCTTGACGCAGGGAGACCAGAAGCCATGGGTGCGAGCACTATGCACGGAGTTACATAGTGGTAACTTGTACAGACCGGTGAAAGTTGTCTTGGCAGAAGGGCTAACTGTCAAACATCAGTACGGACGTACAAGTGAGACAGAACCTAACATCAGGGATTGCAGCACAGACAACGGGCGTATGAGATCGCTGGGAAGTTGTTCTGAAGTGCAGAAAGCAAAGGCTGGTTGTTCAGAAATAAGCTCCGAGCAAGGAAAATTAGTTTTCTAGTTGCTCCAAACTCTGAAGTTTTCTAGTCGCTCCAGTGTTCATCATGCAAGGAGTTACATGATAGTCAAGGGCATCCAAGCAGAGGGTGCAGGACATCTAATCAGGGGGTGTCGGATATCTTGGTTGCGCAAGTTCAAGCATAGCAAGTAACGATCCACTGGGGACCCTATGCAAATCTCACACCCCCAAGATATACAAGTCGGGCAAGATGATCTTACCAACCTTCACGCGCAAAAAAGGATGCTGCCGACTTAAATCAGTCACAACCACTCACAATAGCATCACTACCCACGCTAAGTCTCGAAGACCTACAACGGAAGTCCATGTGACATGCTCCAACTCCACTCGCAATAGGCAAGGTTGCAGCCAAACCCGCTGCCTCTGCATGCTCGCCTTCACATTTGCTACAAGTAAGGCACTTAGACACAAACAACAGCCACCATCTCTCTTCATTACCCCGCCACCCAAAACTGCAACCCAATCACGAACATCTAGGTGCCTCCCGAATTTACCCAAGCGGATGAGGTGCATGAAACTCTCGGATACTTCCTCTCGGCAAGACTCGGCACAAACAGACGTCTCATTACTCAACTCAAGTCGAGATACACTAGTCAAACCCTTCCAGCCTTGCCGTGGAATCTTCTCATCGAGGATTCAACTCAAACGGTCACCTCCCTTTGCACTCAACACTCAATTCACAAGTCGTGGGCGTAGCAACTTACAAAACAAGGCCGCAGGCGCTCAACTGATTCTCCTAAAAGCAAAATCAAATCGCCAAGTGCACCCAACATCTCCTACTCCCGGATGCTATACAAAGCACATCACAAGAAGCATTTGTCTGCTAAGGCATCGACCCACAACATTGGCCTTCCCGGGTGATAGTGTAACTCGAAATCGAATCCTCAAAAACTCCATCCATCTCCTCTGCCTCAATTCAAGTCTCCTGAGTAAACAGAATACTTCAGGCTCTTATGATCCGAGACACCCTCGAATCTCTCACCATACAATAGTTGCCTCCAAGATCTCAAATGGCAAAATATCAATTGGCTGCGCTTAACTCAAGGGCCAGTTATTAGAGAGTTCCTCTCTGATTATTTTCAAACTAACGATAAAACCATAGGCTACCACCTTTCCCTCTCTGCGATCAAGCACACAACCCTACACCCTCCGAGTGAGGCATCCAAAAAAGACTGCACATAGTAGCCCCAAACCGTCTTCTCCGAATAATCAACACCTGGAGCGGTGGTGGTAAGTCTAACTTCACACTCCTGGAACAACTTTCACAAGTCTCAATCCACACAAATCTTAACCCCTTTTCCCATCAATCTATAATGTCAAAGCAGC